TTCCCTCCCCACACTTGAACCATATATTGTCCTCAATGTATGCATTCATTGGCATAGTCTAAAACATTAAGAAGTAAAGGGAACGAGAAAACTCCCCTGGATATGTAGACTTGTGCCCAATACACTGTCCAAAACTCCCCCCCTTCAAAACTCCTACGGTCGTCCAAAATGTAGAGAAGATATGGGCTCTCTTTGGGCTTGATGAAGTCCATAAAAGATAGGCCAAAAGTTGGGCTTTTGCTTTTCTTTTTGGGCTGGACTCTACAAAAAAAAACATAGGTTAAGTAAACACATTTATTCACACAATGATGAAGATAAAGGGATTCTTAACTTTAATTTTTAACCAAGAAAATGTAGCTATCACCAATAGAACATGTTAAAGCTCAATTGAACCGAATAATACCCCAAATAGATCTATTAATGTCAATAGAAACCATTAAAGCTCAATTGAACTAAATAAAACTCAATATGTCCATTAAAGTCCACTAAGATTCATTAGCACCCAATAGAGCCCGTTAAACTGCAATTGTACCGAACAACGCCCAATAGAAACCATTAAAACTTAATTGAATCGAATAAAACCCAATACGTCCATAAAAGTTCACTAAAATCCATTAAAACCGAATATTATCCATTAAAGCCCAATTGAACCGAATAAAACCAACACGTCTATGCTGTTATAACAGTGAAAATACAAAATTACGATCAGGACCGATATTTGAAATAGCGGTTATAGTGGTGGTATAGCGGTCCAAAAATAGCGAATCATATAATATTTCTTAGAATTATGTATAATTATATATATATATATACATATATATATATATATATATATACATATATATATATATATATATATAATATGCCTACATGTGACAATTCTGCATTTTGGAATTTCAGGTTAGTACCTCATTTTAGGACCTTTATTAAAAACTAAGTCTTTCAAGGATTTAGCTTCGATGATCTGTGATCATCTTGATCATCTCCCAAGATTAGTTTGTTAGGTCACGTTTCGGCGGGTAGCTAACCAAGTTAGTTCGTGCAATGCCAAATAGTCTTGAAATATTTCATATAAAAATAAAGCTGATATTTCGTTTCGTTCTTCTTAAAATTCAAATTTTCAAAGTTCCAATCTTTTATATTTGGTTGCCAATTATTATTTTGAAAGAGTGGAGTTTTGAAAAATCTTTTGTCAAAATTGTTTTGTTTGTTGTATTTATTGGGGCATTGTATTTACTAAATAAAAGCCTTATTGGGCCTGGACCTTTAGAGTTAGCCCATTCCTTCTCTTGAAGCCCCATATACCCCCTTCTCTTTTGAAAATTCTTCATCCTTCAAAATTTCCAGCCATTTCGTTTCTCTCTCTCCAACATTCATCACCTTCCAACCGATTCCATCTCCTTGCAAAGCTCAAAGATTTCTGCTGTTCTTRAGATTTGTTCGTATCATTTCGACCAAGAAAAGGTATGTTTTAAAAGTTGTTTATTCTCTTTAGTTGTTCGAAACTTGTTATCCTTCTCCCTACTCTATTCTTTGAGTAAGATTTATGGGATTTAAAGAGGAGAGATTATTCATCAAAGACCTGCATGTGTCTTCGTTGGGATGATAATTTGTGATCCAAGATTCTTTAGTCCCTAAGAAAGAAGAAGAAAGTTCTTGTATGTGAAGTCCGATCATATTCTTGGATGATTGAATCTTGCATGCATCTTTAAATAGGATTTCCCATCCTGTTAGC